TTGGTTGTATAGATGGATGTCTGGTTGTATAGATGGATGTCTGGTTGTATAGATGGATGTCTGGTTGTATAGATGGATGTCTGGTTGGATAGATGGATGATGGTTGGTTGAATGGATGGATGGATGGATGATTTGATGAATGGTTGTATAGATGGATGTCTGGTTGGATAGATGGATGGATGAAATAAGAATATATATACAATAAATAAAAAAGCAATAAAAGTAGTTTTTTCATGGTGTTTAGTTTTTATTTTAAAAAATGTTCTTCTGTTTTTAGGAGATTCACATTTTGCAAAGCAAGACATCAGAATACGACGAGATGGAACATGAGAGAGAGGAAGCCATCCTCAGATTAACGGTGAATAGTTTTCACTTTTGATTAAAAACCATCCATTGGAATCCCTCTTTCCGTAATTGTTTGATATTTTGTTATGAAACAGCCAGTCTGCATTCTATTCCCTGCAGGAGATGGAGATAAGAAACTCCGAGTTGGAGCGTCGCGTCCAGAACTCAGAGCAGAATCTCCTTAATTCTCTAGAGGAACGAGATCGTGTGGACACGGAAATCCAGAAAGCAATAGAAATTTTGGACATCAAGATCTTTGACCTCAACGACCTCCGCCAGAGCCTTGTGAAACTAACTGAGAGAAGGCAGTAGAAGAAGACAAAATGTGACTCGGTGTGAAACATATTGCCCCATTTGCACTGCCCCTAATAAGCCCCAATTCTGGGCAGCCCGCCAGCCCGCCCTTGTGCACCAGCACTTTAGTATTTTGAGCTGATTTGAGGCTGATTCAGGAACTCTTTTCGTCCCTGCTTCTCTGGTGGGACCGAGCGAGCTCAGCCGAGCTGAGTCGGGACTGAAACATGAATGCAGGACTCTGATTGGTCAGGGGGAGGAGTCACTGGATCTCAGAAACTTTTCACTGAGCCGCCATTTGCAATTTCTCTGGATGCAGAGCAGCGGCTGGATCTATTTTTAAGATTTTAAAAACAATAATGACAACGCCGTGTTTAATTCTGAAGTCCAGGCGTTTTTTGTGTTTGGTGACCAACGAGAAAATTTGAGCGAGCGCTGTCACCGCGGAGGATCATACGAGCTGCCGACCTGTTGAAGACCGCGAGGCCGAACCCCAAGCCCCGGCCTCGCCTGCTCACAAAGGCCGGATTTGAGCCCTGGCAGGCGGGAGGACCGGGATGGAGGGACGGGGGTGGAAACTTTTTTTTAAACATTTTATGTGTAAAAAAACAAGTTTTTTTAAATCAGTGAAGATTAAATTAAATAAACGGTGCCGGCTTTATCGTGAAATCCTGTTTTCACTTTGACTTTATTAAATAATCTGTTAATTAAAGTTAATTCAGCTGAAAAATCATAAGAAGACACAAAATTATTGGATCTCTCAGGAATATTTCCCTCCAACATGTTTAAAGAAGAGATACAGCCTTTGGTTCAACTTTATTCTAACTCACAGATGAACAAATCACTAAACAAGCATTGTTCATCAGATTTAATTCAGTTCAGTTTATTTATACAGCGCCCAGTCACAACAGAAATCGTCTCAGGGCACTGACAGAAATATTCATATATAAAAATAATAATTGAATATAATTTATCTGAGGAGCAGACTGCTTTGAGTAACTCATCGCAGAACTCTTATTAGCAGAACAGATTCTGGACACGCCTCTGGAATCTGTCCTAAAGTGCAGGTGCAAATCCAGGCTGAGCTGATCCAGGCTGAGCTGAGCCAGGCTGAGCTGAGCCAGGCTGAGCAGGGGTGTGCAGGGCAGTGCAAAAGGGGCAATAATGACGAGATTAACCTGAACTGGGCTGTGAAAAAGAAGAAATGATTCCTGGTCTTCTTCAAGCACCAGAACCACTGTGGGCTCAGAACAGGTACTTTGTGATGAACAAGTGGTCCCGCTGTGTCCAACAACATACATGTAACGGTTAATGTTGCTTTAAATTATACATTTAGTTTGATAAACCAAGTTTAGGCTAAGTGCTTGAATATAAAGTACATAAACTGATGCTCATGTTAATAGTTACAACTTTTCTAAACAAAATGGCAGTGCACTGTTGTGAGAGATAAAAAGTTGCTTTTAAAAATTTACAATGACAACGTCAATACACAAAGGCGGGTGGGGCGGCTGTGGCTGAGTGGTCAGAGCAGTCGTCCTCCAATGCGAGAGTTGGGGGTTCGAATCCACCAGCAGTCACATGCTGAAGTGTCCCTGGGCAAGACACTGAACCCCTCATTGCCTCTGATGTGTGTCCCATCAGTGTATGAATGTGATAAAGCTCTGATTAGACTCTTTAGAATGATTTGTTCAATTAGCTTTGTAGAGATCTAGTATAGAGCTGTATGAATGGGTAAATGAGGCACAGATTGTTGTAAAGAGCTTTGAGTATGTTGAAATAAGATAGAAAGGTGCTGTATAAGTACAGTCCATTTACCATTTACAAAGGAACCAAACACTTTGATCCATAGAAAATAAATAAAATACACATACAGTACACATACATGCTTATTGGACATTTACCAGTTATGTCAACTATTTGTGGCCATACAGTAATTTTGTAGTCAGCGTAACATTATAGGCTAAAGCATAATATAGAGAACAAATTTTACAGATTTTCCACATACATTAGGTTGCAGAAGTGTTCATTCCTCTTTGTTCAGATTAGAATTGGAAATATAGTAGTCCCTTGCTACTTTGCAGTTTGTTTTTTGCAAACTCACTCTATTACAGTTTTTCAAAGTAAAACTGGACATGACACACACAAATGATTGATGGATGAGCCACACGATCAACACGTATTTTTTATTTAAAATAAATTATATTAAATGATTTAGCACCTGTGTGCAGCCCACATCTGTGGTAGAAGCTTCCTCCTGCAGCTGATCAGCTGATCTACATGCAGAGCGGAGAAATGGGCGTAGCCGAGAGTGCAGCCGGAGGCAGGGAGCTGAAATCATGACATTGTTTGCTCTTTTAGAGCATTTAGAGTGTAGAAACATTGTTTAGACTATTGCAAGAGTGTGGGAAGGGTTTAAAACACCTTTATATATATATATATAT